GATTATTCTCGTTATTATGGGTCGGTAAGATCGATTGAGACTTTCTGAGTTTCCTTTTTTGTAAATCGATTAAACAGCATTAATTATATCATTGATGGAGACATCAGCTCATCAATCTCGAAAACAAGGAAGATATACAAATGCTTCATTGTAAAGATCTATTTGAGAGACTAGTTTTGTTTGTATCACATATGCAGCGCTATTTTAATTAACATTCATGACTATTTCATGTATTTTGGCAGACTTTTTTCCGCTGACATATGAAATAAACCTACGGAACATAAAACCGTTTCAAACTTCCTAATAAAGCTAATACTTTCCTGTTGATTCAAAGTAATGCATGACAACGAATAATATTTCAAATGTTACTTTATTTTTACACTTTATCGAACATTATTTTGGAAGTTATACGCTTCCATCCAACCCTCCTGTAGAAATCGAAAACAATGTTGATAGAGCAACATGCATGATTTATATTATTAATATATTTGGTATCCAATGTCATTCAATAGATAAAAGCGAAAACAATGTTTTTCGAATGCTCCTTTAGTCTTATATTCAATTGTTGGGATTGGGTGTGGGTGCGAATGTGGATGTGAGTGAAGAAATGAACTTCACTCACACCCACACTGCCATGATCATTTTACAAAAAGATTTCATGTGACTGAAAATTGACTCGCAATTTATATTCGAGACAGATACAGAAAAAAAATAACCGAGCTCATTTTTATAATTTAGACGTATTTTCATTATCAAGAAGATAATGTGAAAGATTATTACCTCGAGCTTATAACAGTTTTTCTTTTTCTTCTAAACTTTTTTACTGGTTTAAAATGTCACTAAAATCGAACCTGCCAAAACATTGAAAATTAGGAGAAATCAGGAGAAAAACCTCAAAGTTAACTCCTGAATTCAGAAGAATTTTTCAGGAGAAAAGTTTCAAATCAGAAGATTTGTCAACCTTAGTTCCTGATCGCGTATTCGAATTGGAATCAAGATTTGAACACTTTCCAAAGACTGAATTGACTTTATTAAAACTTTTTTCTTCAGTTCAAATTTAAACTAAGGACGATTTTCAAGTACTTTTTAAAGAAATGAATTGTTTTTATGCATTATGAAATCTTCATGATGTTGTTTTGAACATCTGTCGAACATCTGTCCTTCTTTGGATGAGTATCAAAACTGTGGAATTCTGGAACGCGTTGTGTTTTTCAAAGAGAAATCTGTTTCGATTTCATCTTTCTGTACACATAATGTAACTAATACAAATGACTATGATGTAATCAAGACATATCTATGCCTATACTTTTTTCTCTCTTTGTCATTGATGTTTTCTTTTTTACTACGTGCAACTCTTCTTACTAATCATTCACATGATATGTCCATTTTTTACTTGTACGCTAAAGGAGTCAGAGATAGAGAATTTGTTGTTTTTGTCATCTGCAATACGCTTCATATTTATATAGTTCATTTCATCATTTTCTATCAATTCTCAGTAGCATTTTTGACCACTATTCGTAGATATCTTTCAGATATTTCTATATCTTAGTTGTGATACATTTTCTCTATAGGTGGTCACGATTTACTAGGAAATGGTAATGCTGATGGAAACACATGATTCTTTGCTATCAGTGATTGGGATGATTACTTACTTGTACCAGATAAAATTCCATCGGAAGTTGCTGTCACTGCTGCCGTGAACATTTTGGGGAAAAAAATTAAATGCAAGTTTCCAATTGTGATTATGTGATAAATTCTATTTTAATGATATACAATCGATCACTGATTCAAGATTTATTTTTAATCGAAAAATGTCCTTCATTTATTGTTTCTTCTTTATCATACATTTGAGAATATATTTACATCTGCATCATTAAACACATCTTACGAGGGAACCTATTCAACTGTCCAATCGCTTTTGAGTTCGAACTCAGTTTGAAAGATAGACCCCAGTGAGGTATGAAAAGGCCCAAAAGGATAAGTGCCCATAGGCCTTCCGTCCAGAGTTATAGGCATTTTACTAGATTTTTAGCCTATGGCACAGTATATACCAAAAAATCGAATGACAATATTTCGAGCTGAGATTTCGTCCAACGATAGGTCTATGTACCAATAGAATGCCCTGAAAATTTCAGCTCAAAAGAATGTTTCAATCTCGGGATATTAAACTCCCAAAAATCACGCATATCCCGCGAATGATGCTAGAATTTTTTGGCTTTTGGGTGTTCAATATCTCGAGACTGGAACATTCTTTTGAGCTGAAATTTTCAGGGCATTCTATTGGTACATAGACCTATCTTTGGACATAATCTCAGCTCGAAATATTGTCATTCGATTTTTTGGTATATACTGTGCCATAGGCTAAAAATCTAGTAAAATGCCTATAACTCTGGACGGAAGGCCTATGGGCACTTATCCTTTTGGGCCTTTTCATACCTCACTGGGGTCTATCTTTCAAACTGAGTTCGAACTCAAAAGCGATTGGACAGTTGAATAGGTTCCCTCGTTAGTTTGTTTTAGCTGGAAATCACGATTATGTAGGCAATGTTTCATCACAAATTGAACATGGAAAAATACCACTATGATGGTAAATGATTATTGGCTACTTTGTCATTTTTAAAAAATCTTTCTTTTTGTTTTGATAGAGTATAAAGGTTCTAACAATAATTATGTAGCTGAAGTCGGTTGACAACGAGTGGAAGAACAATTTCGACAACCAACGTATGTTCACACAATCATAAATGTGTATATATAGTTCATATTTTGCTGTTTTTATTTATCATTTTCAATGTTTCATATTTGATTATTAGTGGTGATTTTCCAGTGTATTTAGCTGCTGAAGAGAGTTCGACGGAATATCTTATTAATCGTCTTTGTTCGTTCCCAATCAGCCATCTGATGGGCATTGCAATGAGCCAATTTCGGCTTCTGATGGACATTGAAATCCTATATTGAACCCTCGGAGTGCCACTTTTCGATAGGTCGAAGGGGGCTTGGCATTAGGTCGTTTCTACTAGCAGTTTTCAACCACTCGAATGATTATGCCCGAGAGAATCGAAATTTTATCAAACTAACAACAATTTTTATTCGAAAGATCTCTTATTTTCGAGTTGTCGAAGCCTATCGAATATATGCGGAGACGATGGAGGTACGAATATGGATATTCTAGATTCACTTTCATCGAACAGTTGATCTAAATATAAACTATTATTCTGCTATGAAAATCATTTTTTCGATTCATAAAAACATAATACTTAAAATGTCTTGTAGGTTTTTTGATTTTCGAATCTATTTTTTTTTTGGAGATTAAAAATAAGATTTTTTCTTAAACAAATCAAAGGTCTTCATATTGTTAAGTAACACAAGAAGTTTTTTTTTACAAAATCAATATTTAAATTTTTTCCAAGAGTTCAAAGTGTGACAATCTATTATGATTGTGTTTTAATTAAAAATATCGATTAATTTGTATCATAGTTTCAACCAGTAGATAATAAATATTACTCAGAAGCTGCTGAAATTAAGATGAAGTATATACACCGAACGTAAATATTTGTGCAAAGATCAATGATTAAACATAAAGAATATATCAAAATTGTATTTCGAAGAAGTTTCACGTAATCAAAATCGAACCAAATAGTGGAAACTATTCTTCCGATATATTTCTTTCCTTCAAGTGGCCGAAATTCCGATATGTATTCTCTTTTTGAGTACTGAACTTTTTGATGAGTGTCGAGGTGGTATTGACATGTGTTCGATGGATTGAAAATAAATTTTCAATTGAACACAGTTTCCGAATGCTCGAAATTAGAACAGCAAGAACAATAAATATATATATATCTCAAAGTTTTGATTACTTGTTGTGCCCATTGTACGATTTTTTTAAAGATTGTTTTGATAGAAAGATCGCAAGGAAATATGTTGAAAGCAGAAAATGTCAGAAAAAAAACGATATCTGTAGTGAACGTGAGATCGTTTATAGTATTTCTTAAACGACAAGGACAAGAGACTTGTTTTCATCATATATGTATTTAATTTAGTGCAGATTTAGGAGCAATAGTAAAACAATCACAAGACATTTGCGATTAAACGTTCTACGAATAGTCTTGATGCTTTGTCATTTAAACTTGATATATGAAGAAAATGATGATACAATTTTTATCTTTTAATTTGGGTATGATATCTATTGCATTGTCAGCATTATGTCAAAAATAAACAATGTGTCTTACTATATAGTCGAAATTTGTTCACTTCGCTTTAATATTTTTCCTTTCGATCTTTCTCTATCGCCAACCATTTTGAATATGTTTCTTGTGTTTCTGATTCAAAGAAATTTTAAAATGTCTATTCTAATTTGTTTTGAATTGTCGATCTATAAATTTGAGCGCTCAAACAAGGAATTTATATTCGACGGAATGAGTTTATTCAGCGTGGAAGTATTTCTCAAAATAAAACTAAGAAGAATAAGAAGATAATTATATCATTACATTAATCTTCTTAGGGAATCTAGCTAATTAAAAAAATATAATAGAAAAGAAACAAGTAATCAAAACTTAGAAATCCTTTTTTTTTTAATCAAATATTCTTAGTTCACATTTTTATATGATATCATTAGTGTGACATTCGATTCTTTTATTTTTTTTTACGCATATTTTTGAAATTAAAATAGATTTCATTGGAGGGTAATTTTCTCTAAATGTTTTTTTCTTACTAATTGAATCAAACAGATTAGAGGTTTTATATTTTAATTATAATAAATTCTATTTAATCGTCGCAATAATTTATTAGTTTGCAATTAAATACTGACGTTCAAAAAGAAAAAAAATCTATTATGTTTTCTTCTTCTGTTCTTATTTTCTGTGAAGAAGATATTTTCAAAATAAAAAAGAAAAATGATTATACCTCTAATACCGTAAAAATAGCTTTCAACGATAAAAACATGACATTCATGAAATAAAATGTTTATAATACGTTAGTTCATTACTTCCTTTTTTTTATCAAAAATGAATTCAACATTATTTATAACATCAGTAACATTCATTAACAATTCACTTACAACAATTGTTGAATCATGGTTTATTCCTCTTAATATCTTATCAATTATATGTACTATTTTCGTTATTGGATTTGCAACATTCTTTTTATTTATTCTTGTTTTTGATAAAACATGTCATACAGTTCCAATGATGTTAGTTGCGAATTCATGTTTAGCTGAACTTCTATTAGCAATTAATGGACTTTGGATAGCTGTATTTACACTTCAAAATGATCTTAAACAAATTCAATATCATGATTCATTTTGTGTTTTTCGAGGATATATAAGTTTTAGTTCATATGCTTTACAAAATTGTTCTTATTTATTACAATCCATCTATCGATATGTTATTGTTGTTTATCCAAATCGTTTATTTTGGCAAACAGCACGAACACAACTATTTTTTATTGTCTTTTCTTGGATATTTGCTTTCGTATATCCTATTGTATTTTTATTTACTAATGAAATCATATATAATGTTGATAATCAAATATGTCAAGTATCTCTTCGACTTTCTTTTTCTGTTATTTATACAGCACAATGTCTCTATATAATTCCTGTCTTATCAATTATATTTGTTTACTTTCTATTAATTCGATATGTAAAAGGAATGAATAAACGTGTAATACCTGTCAATACTTTATTTCGAGCACAAAGAGAATTGAAAATGGTTCGAAGGATAGTTATACTTGTAATGATTTTATTTATAGCTGGTTTTCCTTATGCATTATTTGTTTTCATTTCATTGTTTACTTCTCCACCAAAATATCATTTTCGAATTGCTTATGCATTTATTAATTTATTATTACCATTTGCAATGATCTCTTTGTTTCAATTTACTGACACACTTAAAGCGTCTGTAAAGAAAATATTAAACTATCGACCAAATACGATAATACCAGCATTGACATGAATGATTAAAGTTAAACAAAGATATGTGAAATACTTATTTGATGTTGTATTGTGTTATTGTTCTTTTCAACTACTAATTATAATGACAGCAGTGTAATGATAAAGATCTATTATAAAAAGTACAAGTGCTGTTCGCTTTTATTTGAAAAAAAAACAACATTTGATTTATCCACATTATGAGAATATTTATTTGACAAGATATACAGCTAAAGAAAAGATTTGAAGATGCCTTTTATAAACAATTTTCGAAACATTGTGTTTGATAAAGATTTGTTTCTGGTTTAACCATAAATGAAGTTATTATTCTTGATAAAGAAAAGTCTAAACTTACTAATAAACCATCTGATTACCAATGTGATAATTGATGGATTTCTAGTTGAATTATTCGAACAAACCTCGTCGAATTCTGTTGAAGTTAATCCTCGTAAATCAAAAGTTATTGATTGGTATTTTAATATTTGTTGATTATCAATATAATATGTATAAAAATTTTCATTTGTTAAATCTATATTAAAGAAAACTAACGAGTTTTAATATTTAATACTAAATCTTATTTAAAGGAAGAAAAGAATCCATCCATGAAATTGATCAAATTGATAAACAAATAAATAAGCAAGACTTTGAAAAAATGATGTTTTCAATCCGAATCCGGCTTATAAAAATGTTTTAACTGTTTCGAGCTCGGAACAAAAATGAGCCGAGAACTGATACTGTTTTGAAGCTAGTTTAATTTTTAAAAAAAAGTAATTTTAATAGCGTTAAAAATTAATTAGATACAATATACGCCATGTTTTATATGCACTATATATCATCTAATGTGAGTGTGGGATGCGGGGTTTAGCTGTGGATGTGGACCTGCACTCACACCCACACCCAAAAATGGGTCCGCAAATAGATCGAATAAAATAATATTCTGGTAATTAGTAACAACAGCTATATCGTGTGTCACATTTTCATCGCGCAGGAATGGCGCTAACAGATTTCTATACGTGTACACATTATTGATCTTTCATCGTTCGAAAATGAATATCCCTCTGAAATATTTCAAAACATTTATTGAATCTCTGACATTCCTAACGATAGAAACAATCAACATTGTTGTTTTACAACGTTTTGCTAACATTCTCATTGATCTTATCAATATTATACGGGATAAAACCTAAGCGTTTCTCAATCTATCCATCGTTCGTTCTTAGAAAAAAAATTTTTATTTCACGATTGAAATTATACCAGTAATTCTCAATTGAAATTTTATTGTTAGAAGAGTGTGCGATAGGCGTATTCTTCTTTGTACTTGGAAAAGAGTATAGCATTTAATAGTTCGAACAGTTAAAGTTAAGATTTGAATGCAACATAAGATTGATACCATTGAATAAACGTCCATGCTAACATTCTTATAATAAATAATATCGATTTGATTTAAATTACAGTATTCTGATATTATTTGATAGATTCTTTAATTGAAGACTGTGAAATATTGAATTCGAATAAAAGTGTCTTGTTGATAGACATGTATTTTATGCAAGAACATGTTTTTTATGTATTCTGAATTGAAGGTATTATAAATAAAAAAAGACGAAACACAATAAATATTATTTCATAAAGATTTATTTGGATTAAAATGAATAATACGTTTACGCGAATGAATAGATAATTAATTGCTGAAATTGAATTTATAATAATTTAGAAAATGAAATGTGAAGTTAATCGATTGATGTTGATTATGATAATTCAATAATATTTGGTAAAAGCAATGATCGTATTACGAAAATGAACTTTTATCAATATGACAAGTACGTTGTATTATTGATATTTATGATTCTCAGGTTCAAATAACATTTATAAAAATAGATCACGTTGAAAAACCTTATTCATATAGATTATTTTTTTCCAACGAATATCTTTAGTACTGAAATGAATTTGTATTGTCATGGTTAAGTTATTAGAAATGAAGCTTGATAAATTAAAATATCATTTTAGAAACAAAAATTAATGAGAATGGTTTTAGTAAACTTGAAAAAAGTACAATAAGTTAAATTTGAAAAATATTATTCTCAACTATCATATTAACTTAAAGAATTTTTTCATAGTTTTCTTAAAACTTATTTTTGAGTCGTTTAGTCAAATCAGACGATTGAGATCGGTCAATATCATATATTATAAATTAATTTGACAAAATTTAAGCAAATCTGTTCATTTTAGCATAATTCATATGTTGAATGTTCTACGTGATCATCAACGATCGAAAATTTTTAGAATATCATCAACATCTAATTCACAAAAACAAAGAGATAAATTTACTATTTCCTTTTTTTTATCAAAAAAATAAGGTTATTCTGAGTAGTTCTAATGAGTTGGTATTTTTCTAACTGCAATGGAGTGAGATCTTTTTTTCTTTATTCGGAGCTTACATTAGAATATTCGGCATAATTGGCAAGAATTTGTTTCATATATATCTGATTTCTATTTCGTAGGGTTTATTTCCGAAGTTTCTTTTTTTATTCGACAAATTATTTATTATTAACTAAAATTCTTTTCGGAAAAGCAAAACAAGAATAAATAAAATCAAAATTTGAATTTCAACAAATAAATCCTTGAGGTCCAACGAAAGCATAGTCCAAAGTACAAGTGAGGGTGAGTGGCTATGAATTGTGACTTTGATTTGATCAATATGCAAACTTCTTTAAGCTGCTTATAATAAAAATACAAATATTAAAAACAAAATTTGTCCTGAAAGTTGTTCTAAGTCGTCGTTACATAGTGTATCAATGATTGACAATAATAATATTCCATGTTTGGAATGATGGTACGAACCTATTAAATGTTTATATCGCAGAAGCAATCCTATATTGCTTTTACGACGTTTTTTTTTCTTCTATAAAGATTAGTTTTTCGGAAGACAATTAAGTGCTTAAGAAAGCAGTGGAGCAATATCAAATTTCTATTTATCAAAAGATCACATATTGTGCTTCTTCACTTTCGGCGAATGCGAAAAACATTGTCTGTTCATTATATATAAAGACGGGTGTCGCCACTATTCTGTCTCATTTCAAAGCAAGCGATGGTTTCAACAGTAATTCGTTGTTTCGTATTCATTCTATTCAGGTAATTCTAAAATCTTTTTTTTATCCTATTCATCTAATGTTGAGCAATTTTCCTTTTAAGCTTTACAGGTTTGATTTTTGTTTTCTTTTTACATGACCTCCTATTAATTTGGTATGTCGCTAGCTCGAGTGAAATCTCAATACTGCCCGGAAATTGCTCAATATGATCGATGTTCGCTAAATAGTGCGTGTGCCTGTTTCCATATAGCAGGTGCTATTAACGTTGGTATTTGTAGCGATGAATTCGTGGATTGTTCTGAGCTAGTTGCATGTGAAAGCTCAAACAACCTTTGTCGTGAACCTAACCATAGATGTGTTCATCATCCCCGATGTCATAATCTTCCTGTTTGCTATCCGGTGCCCAGTTTCAATCGACAACTCTGTCCACCGAGAGCAAGTAAGAAAACAAACAGTGATCTACAGAGTTAAGTGAAAACCAAATCTTTCTTAAAATTATTTCTTCATCTTTCACACACCCTCATATATGCAATTCTTGTTGGTGTAGGAGTAGGGAGAAGAGCCGAAGAGTTTTTGAAAAAGTAGATAAAACATGTCAGAGACAAAATGAACTGTAATCATTGGAAAAAAGATTTCATCTCTTCTCATGGACTATATCAATTAATTTGAAATACAGAGTCTGTGTCAGTTGTATGTAATAACACATGAAGACGTAGTGAACTTTTGCATGTACATCAGAGACCGAAACAAGTGGAACAATTGACCATTCGATTCGATGCTGTAGAACGTGTCATATCTTAAGATCTTCATAAGAGTAAATCAATTCTGTTGTGTTATATTTCTCCTTATTCATAGTTTTTGTTGTATGCTTGATTGATTCTTGTGAATATTGAGTTTACTCAACAGCCTTTTTTTTCAAAACAATTGTGATTGAAATTTAGCTCGAAAGAAAATGTATTTATAATTCTCTCTGTCATATTTCTAATGACTAAACTTGCAAAATTGAAGACTGATCATTTAGCTGTAACGCAGTAACTACTAGAGCTCAAGACAGCTTTAGCAATTGAATTGAATGAATATGCTACTAATGAGGAGTAATGCAACTATGTATGTAAATTATATTTCACAGCTTGTAGCACTACTGACTCAGTCGTCTCAATAAAATACTAATAAGCGCAGAATGGATATAAGCGGGCTGTCCTTGGTATGGCTATTTATTTTGGAGGCTATACCTGCATGTATCAAACATTTGAGTTTTCTTTCTTAACAGAACAACCTAAACATTCAAACTGACTGACGACAAAAGGAACGAGATAGAGCTCGTAACAATTTATCTCCACACTATTATTCTGTTTCTTCAAATACCCTTCTAAATTCATTTCACCTACACTGCTGATATGATAGCAGAATATTATAACGATTTGAGATGAACACCCTGGAAGATGAAAATTTACATGAGAAGTTAAAATCATAAGCTTCATACTTCGAATAACGATTTTGTACGGCAACAGCAGTCAGTGCATTTTAATCTTTGCTCGTATTCGAAATAGAACAGAAGTGATGAATTCGGTCCAATTCAATTCAATTTGATTTGATTCAACCGAATCACATAGAATCGAATTGTCGAAAATTTTACGGAATTTTTGGTCTCTGATGAACACAGTTTTCCATCAAAAATCAGTTTCGAAAGAAAAAAACTCTTTTCCGACCATTTGAGATCGTCACTCTATTTTGAAACTCTACTTAGACTCCACATAAGACTTAAGTGCACCCAGTTCTATATTTCATTCTAAGTCAGACCTAAAACTATCTGCTTTGTTTACACAAATGTTTCATGATAATGAATAGCGATGAACACTACAACTATAACTACAACTGCAAATCCAACAACAACGACAACTGCAACAACTACTCAGGAACTGGGTAAGCATTAAATTAA